ACACATGTTTTTAGATCAGCTTCGTAGAGTGCGATTAAGTGAAACATCCTTCGATGTGGGATCCCTGTATACCAATGTGAGTAACGATGCCGCTATGGAAGCTGTGCTAGAATTGCTTTCCCAGCACGAAAGCACAGTCAACATGCACGGTCTTTCTATAGGTCAAANCGCCTGGCTTCTACTTTGGCGATTGCTTTCATGGCCAAAATAGAAGTGCCCGTGCTTGAACGTCTCCCTGTGCTATATTGTCGGTACATAGACGATTGCTTCATAGTTTGCTCTACGCAGGAAGAGGTGGACCTTTGTTTTGAATGCACAATCTGAGCGGATAAAAGTTACTCGAGAAAAGCCCCGAAGAGTGGCTGCCTTTCCTTAATGTCCAAGTAGAATTGCTAAGGGGGACTATTCCACGAAGTGGTATAGGAAGCCCAGCAATAAAAACATCCTTGTTCATTGGAATTCTGCACACCCTCTCCAAACGAAACGAGCAGTGGTAAGAAGTATGTTTCGAACTGCTGCAGAAGTTAGCTCTGGAGAGAAGGAACGAAAAGAGTCCGTGCACATAGCTCGAAATATTGCTGAGCTTACTGGCTACAAAATTCCTCCATTTCGAAAGGCCAGCGCAGGTAAAGAGTCAAGCAGGACAAATGGTGATTTATTTAGTATAAAATTCCCATTTGCTGTGCCGTTCATCTCCGATGAAGTGAGCGCTTCCATAAGGAAGTGTCTGAGGAGAGCGGGTCTTCAGAACATTGTTGGTATCGTCGAAATCCCTCCTGACACTCTAAAGCGCCGTTTAGTCCGTAACCGCATGTACGATCGCACATGTGCAACACTTAATTGTGTGGTCTGCCCTAATGGCAGAGAAGGTGTCTGTAGCGCAACTGGTGTGGTCTACAAAATCACTTGCCAAAACTGTGGAGATACGTATATAGGTGAGACTACTAGACTACTCCATGTTCGAATCAAAGAACGGTAAGGCTAGGTCACTCCCCTCAACTGCCTTTGGTTGCCACAGGGCGCAAACTCATAATGGAGACGACTTCGGGGTCACGGTCGAGGTCCTGGCGCATGAGGCACAAACAGCCGCGAGGAAGTCCCTAGAGGCATTGTGGATCCGGGTCACGGATCCAATAATGAACCGGAAGGGGGAATGCGTGTCAATCACGCGCGAACTCACCCCCTAAATAAGGCTAGCCTTTCACTGTGAAATTTGAACTTGAGATAGCCAGTCCACATCGCTCACGAGGGCCGGTTCTGCTCATCAGAGAGGTGCGGTACTTTTTGTCCACTTAGAATTATAGGATGATCAAATTGGTTTCGAAGATATTGTGGGGGGTGGAGATGTTTGGTCGGGTAATCTCATAAATTGATTCCATCCTTTTAGGCTCCGACGGAGGTGTTTCACCGAAAAGTTAGCCATTAAGGTATTGTATACCTCTTGTGGAGTTATACAAATAAAGTCTTTCGAAAATCAAAATAATTGTTACGAACTAAACAAATTCGGGTGCAAAAAAACATCAAAAAACCATGCGTGAATTCTCATACGTAATTGACTAACCTGATTCACTCGCAGTTGCAGCGAATAATTATTTCAGCTGAGTAGAAACGAATAGTAGTAGCAGGATAGAATAGCTATCGAATATCAAACACTAGTCGGCAAGCGCAACAAAATCTACATTCTCGTCCGAGGCAATTTGCCAATCAGCTTATCGATTGCTCACTAATGTTGCTCCAATGCGAAAGTGGTGAACGGCAGTTAGATTTCGTAGTCAGTTTTTCGAGGGGCGAAGGCCCTCGTCCTCCACTCTCAGGACCCTTATTGTGCCCTATCCAGAACGTTTTACGACCCCATTTTGGCACATATGTTATCAGGGGGGCCCGAATTCACACCATGTGTAAATCTCAGAAACCATTTTTATCGTGAACTGTGCCTTTAAGACACAACACACACATCCACTCGCGTTTTCCTAGATTCTACGCCGCAGGAGAACGCAGAGACGCATTATAGTGATTCGCAAGAATACGGTAGTTTACATACAGTAGAACCCTGAACAAAGGCCACGTGTATAAATGAGACTTGAGCGATGTTCACCACTTGAAAATAAATTTGGAATAGGCTCTTCTTCAAGAGATTATGGAAGCTCAAAATTTACCCGAAGATGGTGTTGAATGAAAATGAGCAGTAATTGCTTCGATATCGAGCAGCAACGGAGCGTGGAGCAGTGCTCTCGTAGTGCAAGTGAAAGATGCGTTTTGCTCCCCTCCGAAAAATTTTTCACATTGTTCTTTCGCTCATTTGGAAGTTTTGGAAACAGCGCCTTATTTCGACTAAAAGTTGCCCTTGTCAGTTTTGTTTTGAATATTGAGAAACATTCAACAGAAATCGCTCCCAAACTGATGCCCTATGAAACCGAACTCAACGTTGATGAAGTAACCTGTAAAAGCTCAAAGTCAGCATGTTGTCTACGAGCTGCTCGTTTTATATATCATACAAGCTTCGTAATAGAGAAGACTCTCTAAAACTGAAAAATACTTATGGGGAGTAAAAAGGAGTTTGGTCTGAATTTGCTTTATAAAATGCCTTTCATCAAAGTTCAACTCCATGAAGGCAACCGTTCAGGAGTGATTTCTTGAAGCTGTTCCAAGGGATAAAAATAAAGCTGAGTCACACAACTACGGTACTACCACTCCGCTATAATTAGGCACGACAAGTGTAAGTGATGCTCGAAGTAAGAAGTTAGTTAGGCGCTCTCTAAAACAAACGAAAAAGGTGTCCAAAATCTTCAATGGAACGATGGGCCACTTGGAACAACATCGTTGGTGGTGAAAAGCAAACCCGCATCCACAGCTTGCGGAACGAGAGCACTACCACTGTGCCACGACACTCGATATCTCAACGGCGAGTACGCATCTCCAATTAGCACTATCTTCAGGCATACTTGAACCTCTCATAACTTTCTTAAGGAAGCCATTCAGCAGTTCATATTTTCGTAATCGTAACCTGCATTCCAAACTCCATCAATAGTAAGCTTCCACTCTAAGTTCCCTGTCGAGTTCCTTTTCCTTTTCAGTGGAGGTGGAGAAAGTGAAAGAAAGGGAGCGTTGATATAGATGACTGCAAAACAGCTGAATTCTATTTATCCACCGCTGCAGGTTTTTTTTATTTTCGACTTGATGAAAATAAAATCCTTACTTTATACATATGGTGGGTGGCAGGGCCGGACTCCGCCTTCAAAGGGCGGGGTTTGCACGAAGTAAATGTTCCAGCGGAATATCATAACACCTGTCCCTGTGAACCCAGAAAGTTTAAATTTGGTAGGAGTACCCAAGGCAGGGTGGGAACACATATTGTGGGTGGCAGGACCGGACTCCGCCCATAGGGGATGGGGTTTAAGCGAGATGTTTCAGCGGGAAGGAGAAGCATAACTCCCGTCCCTGTGAGCCTAGAAAGTTCAAACTTATTAGAAAGTGCCCAAGGCAGGGTGGAAACACATGTGCCGGGTGGCGAGACCGGACTCCGCCCTCAGGGCGGGGTTTGCGCCAAATTGCCAATTTGGCCCTAGAGCGTTGAAACTTGGCAGAAGTATAGGCAGCAGTCTCTAAAATCTCTTCCGAACACCCTTCTTTTTCGTAATGATCTCCGCAACTAGAGAACTCTGCTGATTTTTTTCTTCTCATCATCGAAGCATTAATTGCCGTCAGTGTTTCTGTCCTTCCACTTTGAAACAGTGCCTGGTATTTTGTAAATTTGATTCTATTGTATGTAAACATGTATGGATCTGAATAACTACAACTACATACCAATCGAGAGGGATCTCAAAAGCCTGTTATTGTGAAAGTGCTTTGGTAACTGGGATTGTCGCGAATGCTGTCGCTGGGCGCACGGCGCGCGCCCAGCGTTGTTCGAACAGCCTAGCCAGTCGGCCCCCCTGCACCGCGACCGACTTGCTGTCGGCTGCTGGACGGTATAGCCAAGCAACGCTGTGAGGTTGCCCGCAAGGCGTGGAGCTCCAACATCAGCCTGACCAGTATCCAACTGCTGTTCACCGAGGGCGCAAGCTGTCGCCTGTAGCATACTGAGGAAGAAGGAAGGCAAGAAAACCGCCGAGACCAATGGGGGCCTAGACATAACAGCTGAATGAGTTCGCCTTGAAAGGCGCCTGCAGATCGAAGGAAGGGTGAGTGTCGTGTAATACGTTTCGTATATACTATATATGATTAACTATTCATGTATACTTGCTGCTGTTATCTCTTTTGCCTTGGTGCCCTTTCTCTTACCAATTAGCGGTACTACTCTTGTTGTCGTAATGCATGTCTATTGCTCTGAGCCCTCAGGGTTATCCTCTTTGCCTGTCCTACTCCCGCTCGGCCCTTTGTGTATTCTCTTTATGGTATTTTAGTTGTAGAGATCGCTAGCAGTCTAATGAACTAGTGTCTCTTACTTCTGTACTTTGCATTGCAAGTAGGTGAGGTAGGGCACCCTAGTTGCGACGGGGTCGAGTAGGTTGTGTCGTCGCGTTTATGTAGTGTTAGTCCCTGTGTCGGGGGCAGGCATCCCCGTCGCGAAGTCCATGGCTGGGGTCGCCGTGGCAAGCGGAGGCCTCCCCAGCCAGATACCCCTTTGCCCTCGGGGGATTGGTCCGCCTTCCTGCCCGTGGGTACAGGTAGGGTGGTCAGGTAAGCGTGGTTTGTGGGCTCGAGTACTACCGATGCAAATCGCGCCTAAAAAGGTGGCCATAATTGCGACGGGGACCTACCCAGGGATTATATCAGTTAACCACCTGCGCAAAATATCAGAACGTAAGTGGAAGTTAAAAATTCAGTTCGGCGAAGTCCATTCTGTGCCTACTTGCCTATGTGCTTGCTTGCTTGGCGTCGAAAGCAGAAGGTAAATAGGATAAGATGTCAGCTCCATCTGCTTTTCGCTGTGTTTAGAACGTACAGTGTATTTAGGCTTTTATCTACGTGTAGAAGATGACAGAAGGTTTAGATGTCAACTATATTGAAGAACTTGGAAGGTGAATGGGGCTGATAGGGTATTTTTTTGGTAACAGAATGCGGACATGCACATCAACCCTTCCCTTCCTTTCCAATAAAAAAAACTGCAAAAGTCAGAATGAATCTTGAGAAAGAACTCACTGGTCGGCGTGGTATTTTTCCGATGAGATACTTGGCCAAAAAGTTCACGAGTTCCTTGACTTCTGTGTACATTCCAATGGCAAGCGCAAAAGAATGCAACTCCTGAGGTTTGCATCCGCACACCGCTTCCTGATAGTGTTCGCACAAGTTTCGACGAGTCGGCTAATGTTGTCCAAGAATTTACGAGTTAAACATGTGCTTTCGAGACATTTCTTTACGAGTTAAACATGTGCTTTCGAGACATTTCAAGTAACGTTTGAGCTCATCCTACTACATATGTGTGACGCGTAAAGTGTGTGTATGACCATGATTCATTACTTTTCTTCACGTGCACATAGAGCTGGTAGGAATACAGGCGGCGGGATGGGAGCACGTTTTCTGAGTGGCACGACTAGAGGAGGGAGACCACTTACTTGTGTGCGCATAAAATCAGGAGCTTAAATATCGCACTCGGTTGACAAGGTTAAAGTCATATTCGAGCTTTTGTTTCAGGCTGTGAAGCGTTGAACAAAGTGAGCACAGAATTGCTTAAGGCTTCAATGCCAAATGCTTTACACAAGTTCCAATTTCTGCAGCCGTGTAGCCGGATTCGAACTCATAAAGAAAACACGTGTCAAATATGGCTATAACGTGCCCACCCGATCGTCCTCTTCTAGGCCAATGCCCCCACTCTGATTTTTGTTCGCTGGCGGAGCACAGTACTTTGAATCCCTTCGCAATTGCGTGTGTGGAAGAATTCAGAGCCCTTTCCAGAGTGCGTTGAGTGACGCTGACACCATGCTGGTCCTGCTTCCATAGCTGCTTGCTTCGAGGTCTGAGTGTTAGGTCAAAGCATGAAGGGCAGCAGCTCGAAAAGGTGGGCGCCAATGTTTTTTATCTTCCTCACTACTCCCTCGATGTTATTGAATGTTCCCTACGCGGAGCGTTCCCTTCTACTCATCACAGGTTCCAAGGCGTTTTGCTGCGTCTCCACGGTTCGGTACGATCAACAGAACCTTCATTCCATTACGAGCCGCTCTTGCTATTGCCGATGCCAGTTTACACCACTCCCTATTGCCGGCGAAACAGCACATGTAGGACCGACAAGTATACACGCATTCGCTCCTGCCGTGTCCAGCCACATATTACTTAACTTAGTTTTCAGAACGCTTTCCTCTTCTTGGCCCTGCGCTTTTAATATCGTATCGACTTCTCGGAATCTGTCGGGCAGCAGCAGCAGTAATGTTTCCTCTTTTTGTCACTTCTGATTACCTAAATCGAAAAATTGAAAAAAGTTCTAGTACAGTTGAGCGAGTGAGAAAAATGTCCTTAGTTTCTAAAGCAAAATAAGGAGAGGCTCATCAGACTAACACTGCAGTGTGCTTGATTTCAAGGAGACTAATCCTGGGTCTCTGACATATCGTCCAACTCCGGATATGATGATACTGACAATGAACTTATCATGGGAGCAGTCAAGATTCGTTCGTAATAAACCAACCTACACAATTGTGTTTACTACGTGTCACCATAAGTCTGCGTAGCTTTCTTTTTCCGAAACATCGAATCGTCTCATGAAAAA